GTGTGGTTATGGATACTTGGGAAGGTACCGTGTGGTATTAGTGTGACAATTATACTCGTGTGGATTCAATGAGATTCCAGGTACCACTAATAGCCCTAGTGAAATAAACTATGGTATTAGTAGGTAAGGAGCTGATGGGGTTTGCCCTGAGATCACAAAAAGTGCATTAGGATATGTAGTATTATTAATAGACCTACTTTGTGGGTAGGAAAGCTAGAATTGTGTTTGTAGTTAAAGAGTATCTGATGGAAAATCGGTTTCAAAATGACCCATAAGATGTTAGTATTTGAGTTTGGAGAATAGAGTAAGATGAAAGATAATCTATATGAGTCAATGTTATATGATGTGCATAATGTAATGAGATATAATTATATAATTTTAAATATGTGGTAAGTTTGATTGGTAATTATTATTTGAATAATTAACTAATCCTTATCTTTTTATGGGAATGACTTAACTATTATAATCATGTTGATTACATGAAAGAAAATATGATATTACATGTACCAAGACTATATTCGAACCACATGATTAATCTAAAATATAATTGTAATATAAAATTTGTACCTATGTTATTAATATTTTAAGAAATGATATTGAATTAATAAATATTATTTTTTTATTAAATACTTATTAATACATAGACTTCCTCTATATATTGTCAACACTAGTTATTTTTCAATGATTTCTACCAACATTAAAAAGGTTGCAAGAATTTTTATAACAAGAAATGCTTATTTGTTTACTATTTTTAAAAATAATTTTAATACTTTTAAAGATTAAAAACCAAAATTTAATCGGTCTCAGTCTATTCTTCACCTACACTTAGATATGTAATGAAAATACAGTGATTATTATGGATATAAAGGTTTTCTTTATCTACTTTTTAGTTTTACTCTGGTTTATTTCAACAATATTGGTATTTGGACATAAATTAGTCTAGAGAATTTTTTGTGTTTAAAATGTAATATTAATTTAAATATTAAATTATAGAAAAACAAATAAAATGGAGTCTATATGTGTGTAGAAGTTTATCTAATCTTTAATTTTACTCTTGTTTGTTTCAACAGTAGTGGTATTTCAACCATGAATAAAAAAAAAGTTTTGATTGTATTGGTCGTTTTATAATTAAGTTTTTACTTCTTTTTTTATTTATTTATTATTTCCTTCTTCTTTATCCAAACTTTCACACAGTTATTTTGTCATTTCTTTATTTCTTTTTTATTTTTTTGTTCTGTTTCAATGATATTTATAGACCAAATTGCTGTAGAGGATAAGAAATATTTGTTTGAAATGAGAAGCAAAATTCAGCTATGCTTAAAAAATAGACGACAATTTGATAAAGTTTTTAGGAATTATATTGTTCAATATGCATTTGTGTTATTTGAAAACTTTAGTCAAATATGAGGGATGGTAGAATCGCGAAAGAGAAAAAGAAAAACTTAAAAAAAAAAAACTAAAGAAATAGATATACTTATAGAAGTTTTGCCAAAACCCAAATAGTCAAAATAAGAAAAACAAAGTTTTGATTGGATTAGAAAAAGATTTTAGTTTTAGTTTATTTCAATTTTAAAAGTTTTAATTTTTATAATGAGTAAAAGTAAATAAAAAAATGAATTTTGGACTTGAATTAGTGTAAAGAAAAAAAATCGAAAAAAGTGTTATATTAATTTAAATATGTACAAAATAAAATAAAATGATTTAGGTGTTATCAATAATAAAAGTTAGTTTAGATGCAGTAGATGATATATAGACGTTGATATTTAATCATTATATTTTTTATATTAATTATAAATTAAAATATAAAATAGATTCTTATTTTTTTTAATGAGAATCAATAATTATAATTATAAAAGAATGAAAAAGCAAGTTAGTTTAACTTGTTAATATATTTTAAATTGTGACTCGTCCATTCAGTTTTAAATTATTTTATTTAGTTTGTCAACTTGAAAAAGTTAAAAGATGGAATGCGACGAACTAACATGTAAATTTGTTTTTAAATAAATATTTATATATTAAAAATAAAATAAAATATTTTTTATTTTATAAAATTAAAATATATTATAATTTAATTTATAAATACAAATTAAACATAAAATGTTAATTATCATTGTATATTTTAATCTTAATTTTTTAATTTATCTTATAAAAGATATAATTTTTTAAATTTATTTAATAAAATATATTAATTAATGAATCAAGACTTTTAAAAAATATTCATATAATATTTGAAGCGAGATCATACAATCGATGGAGCATTTTGACATTCCAAAAATGTTATTAGTTATTATATCTGCATGTGTATACCAATTTTAATATTTACGAATAATTAATTAATATAGATTCATCTATAGGTAGAATTGTCAAATTGAGCCGTACAGTGAATCTGACTTCATTTTATGGGTTAAATAATAAAAAAAATTAATCATTTTGTTTGACCTATATTTTAAATTGGATTAAGTTTGTTCTATATATTTTTTAAAATATTAACATTTTTATACAAAATCAATTAATTAAAAATTTTAAATAAAAAAATGAAAAATATATTTTAAAAATTTAAATTTTATTAATGAAATTAATTTTTATTTAAGATATAATAATAATTTAATATAAATTATAAAAGAATTTATCTATTCAATCTCAATATAAGAATTAAAATCTTATTATTTATTATTATTATTATTATTATTATTATTTATTTTTAGTAATTTATTAATTTAAAATGATAATTAATTTTAATTATTAGATCGTGAAATAAGTGATGATTAGAGATTTAATATGATATTTACTCTTAAGAAGTGATTTTCTTATTAAATTAATTTATAATATCTAATAATAAAATAATATTATTTTTATTTTATTTTAAAAATAATTATTATTTTATAGAATAAATCTATTTATAAGTCGATCGGGTTAGTCTGACTTAAACTCGTGTAAGTTATAATTTAAATAGATTGAACCAAAATAAGTCTGATTTAATTTAGATTACAATTTTTTTACTTAGTCTGACTTATTTCTTGAATATTTTGAATTAACTCATTAAACTAAGTCTGTTTTGACACTCTATATATAATTAATATGAATTTTTTTATGTATTAAAGTAAAAAGATTTAATTTTAAACATAGAATTATGCATCATATATAATTTTGTAATTTTAAATGTGTACTAAATTTAATTAATAATTATTATTTGAATAACTAACTTATTTTTATTTTTTTTATATATAATTGATTACACGAGAAAAGATAATATTATAAATATAAAGACTATGATTAATCCATAATATTATAGATACTTTTATTTTTATTTTTTTTTATATCTAGACAACATGATTAATCCATAATATAGTTGTGGTTTAAATTTTGTAAATATTTATTGATATTTTGTGATATTATCTCATACTAATAAAGATGATTTTTTACATTAAATACTTGTTAAATATGATTTACTCTAAATTTTTATACAGATCAATATAAATTCCTTCTCCTTATGGGATATTATACTGTTAATATAAATTATTTCTCATTATGGTATATTGTGATAATATCGATTTCTAAATGTAAGAATCTTTATAAAAATAAATATTTATTTGTTTATTGTTTTTAAAATAATTTTAATAAAATTACTTTTAAAGACTAAAAACCAAAATTAATTGCAACCGTTATTCGCTTCCATGTAAGATACGCAATTAAAATCCAGTGATTATTATGGATATTTCTTTATCTACTTTTTAATTTTTCTCTGCTTTATTTCAACAATACTTGGTATTGGACATAAATGAGTGAGAGAAAAAAATGTTATATTAATTTCAATATTAAATTATTCATAAACAAATAAAATGGAGTAATATATGTGTGTAAAAGTTTGTATTATACAACAAATTTAACCATGAATTAAAAAAGAAAAAAGAAAAAAGGTTTTGATTGTATTGATAAACTAAATCATTAATTCATCAATCTATCTTTTAAGAGAGGTTAGGATTTGTATCCCTATTTTGATTTAAAAGAGAGTTATCTTAATTTTTTTTAAATTACTCATTTGCGAAATATTTTTAAAAATTGAATTCAACCCCTTATTTAAGTCTTTCCCTATTTTTTAAAATATTCATCAAATGTGTGTTAACCAAAGTTGATATTTGCGAACTATTCATGAGCTAATATAGACTCATGTATAACGGATACTGAGACTTTTTGGATGTATTAAAATAAAAATTATTTAACTTTGATTTTGAAATAAAACTCTTATTCAGAAATAAATTAACTGTTTTACAAAATGACTATATATAAATCATCATTGTATATATTTTATGCATATTTTTCAATTAATTAATTATTTCCTCTGTTTTTCCTTTAATTAATATTATACAAATATCATATTTTTGTATTTTTAAATTGTTTGCAAAGTTCGTAAAATTTCAAACTGTGAGAGAGTTGGGGAATAATTATCACGCAGAGTCCATCAACAATTTATAGAAAAGTTAGTGAAAGAGATCAATTCAAATGAGGTTAATTCTTCTAATTATTCTAAAAGTAAATATTTTTAGTCTCGAATAAATTTGTTTTCTTTTATTTCCATTTTACCTGGACAAATTTATAATTTTAAAAGCACAATAATTTTTATTTGAATTTAAATATTTGAAAAACTCAAACAAAATGGATTAAAATATTTTATTAATCTTGAAACAAATTTAAGTTTTAGTTTGATATCCGAAATGTTGACTTTTTCTACTAAATTGAAGGAAATTGTTTTTCAAAAGAATATTAAAAATTAATGTCTGATTAGAATAAATAAGCATTAAATTATTTCAGATGATAAGGTAAAAAATTATAACTCGGTTCTTACGACTTATGGTAAAGATTGTGAAACGCATACAAATAAAAAAAAGTTATGTATAGAAAGCAAATAAGTAACATATGTGAAACGCATACAAATAAACTTAATATCTTAAAATAAAATAAAATAAAATAAACAATTCAAATAAGTAAATAAAACAAAACTATTACATATTGGAAAGAAGAGACAAATGTTTAATTTCATGATCGCACTTGCGTAATGTATCCTTGTATGAAGTGAATCGTAGATGGTTGAATTGAGAATGATGTTCCCAAATTTTGTGAATTCTTGTATCATTTAAACCATAGGCATAAAGTTTGTCTTTTGTGGCAAAGACCAGAAGATGACCATTTAATACACTGAAATCTTTGACTATTATTTGAGAAGGATCTTTGGCCTCTATCCCCATTGCCTTTATTCTTATTTTCAAAACCTTCTTCCACAAACTTGATTCATGTTGTCTCAAAGCCCACACTGTAAACACTTGTTTTCTCAATCTCACCACACAAATTGACTCATCCTGACTTGAGTAACTAACATTGCCCCATTTGAAAATTCTCATGTCACAACTGGGGTCATGAGAGCCCTTTCTTGCTTCTTTAGGTACCCTCATCATTCTTGATGTCCCATTCTCAAAATTGTAAGACATAATGTATGGTATGAAATAAGGACTACTTTTTATTAAGTAAGGAAAACAATCTGAGATAAAGTGAACTGCTCCTCTATGATGTACAGGCATGTCAAATCTCAGACTCCTATTGCCACTGAAAAATTTCCCTTCCTTTGTTTTCCACACTCCTTGGTTGGAATGATATACCATACAAACAAAATATGAAGACCAATCAAGTACATCGTCAACAAAAAGATACACCATATAACTACCATCTAAGTCAGAATGAAATCCAATCCTGTGATCATAAATATCACTACGATTTTGCATCTGCATAGGAGTAGGAATTAGCAAGTGAGACTGTGTTGCTGGATTTCTAATGAAAAGCTTCAGTTGCTCCTCATGTGAAACACAACAAAGAAGCAAACCATTGTTTGAACCCAAGATCTTGACAGAAGAATTACAAAAATATCTCAAAACATTTTTAGAGACTCCAGATGATAGTTCCTCGCCAGGTAATTGGTGTAATTCAACTTGCAGACTGCAATATACCAAGGCCTTAATAGGAATATCAGGTTGAATGAAAAAACATGTATCATTCCTTCGCAATGCATTTTGTGCTTGTCTCAATGCAAAATAGGCATCTTTTGGAAGTTTTGAAAAAAACTTGTCAACGCAACTGAATTTGTAAATAGCTTTTGCAGGTAATCGAGAGAATATACAAAACAGTTCATCGTAGGATAGTGCCATTTCGTAAGAAGTTTTTGCTGAATGAGAAAAAAAAAGTATGAATGAAGGATGACAGAGAGGAGAAAGAAAAAAATAGGCCAATGTGATATTTCTGATTAGTAAATACCTTCTAATAACAGTTTTTTTTTTATCTTTATTCTTTATAAATGTGAATCATAATATATATAGATTCTTTATCTCTAAATCTTAATATATCTTTAATCCCTACTTTCATTTTTAAGGTATGATCAAATTAATTGATTTTTAGGGATTACAAAGCTATCTAATATTTTTTTATCATTTTAATTAAAAGATAATATCTATTTATATTTCCATAAAAATAATCTTCCTTTTAGATTATATGATTAAAAAATATTTTTCTGATCACAATTTTTTATTATTATATGTTATCAAATATAATATATATCTAGTTTTTGATGATACGATATAAATTAATATTAGAACTAGTAGGTTGGATTATATTCTTTTTAAATTATGGTGGAGTTATTTGATTTTCTTTTATTATGTGAGAGAAAACAAAATCGTATACAGTTTCCTTGCCTTTTTAAATATTGAATAATAGATTTGTATACGGTAGTTTTAAATTAATTCTTTATTAACATTAATTTTAAATTTTTATAATATATATCACGTGAACTGGTATCATTATTTTATAGAAACGTTAGTGAAAAAATTAATTCAATTAAAGATAAATTGTTTTAATTATTCTAAAAATTTAATTCTTTTAGTTATGAATATTTTGCATGCAGATAATTTTTTAATTTTATTTACATTTCTTTTGACAGATTTTGAATATTTTTTTTCAATTTCAATTGTAGATAATTTTTAAATAAACTGGAAATAAAAATATTATAGTAATCTTAGATGATAAATATTAATTTATATGCATTTTTTTTATCAGATTACTATAGTGACGATATAATAAGTGATCCTATTTGTTTTATTTAAAAAAAATTAGGGTGAAGCATATCTTAATCAAAACACGCTATAAACCTTAGCCTATTTTATTAAAAAACGGGTTGATGAATAAATGAATCAATTTATTAATATGTTTTTTATAAAATTTAAAAAAATATATTTTATTATAAGAATAAATTTTATTATTTTATTTATTAATTAATATTTTATTAGATAACTTGAAAAAAATTATAATATTTATATAATACCTAATTATAACATATAATTTAAGTTTAATTTATTAATATTTATAATTTAAATTATAATATTATAATATACTTGTATTTTTTTAATAATATAACATAAAAATATATAATTTTTTAATTATAATTTTTTAATTTTAATTTTAATATATAAATATTTGTTAAAAGTGAAACTATGCACAACCGTTGTTACAACATCATTCACTATTACAATTAAATGTTAAAATATATACTTTAATGTAATATATGAGTCAAGTCATTTAGACTTTAAGTTCAAATTCAAATTTTCTTCTTGCCAACTTTCAACCAAAACCACTTAGGTCACTAAGCAAATTTAATAGTTCTCATGATCAATCTTTAAGATTTTTTTATTTATTCTTCATGTTATTTTTGTTGATGTAAATATAATTTATCTGTCTTAACACGTTGATAATGTTAGTATATTCGGATATTGTCGAGATATTCAGTTCATGTATCTCAACAATTATAACTCTCATACAACTTAATAATAGAAAGATGAACGTTGAACTAGCTTGATGAATTTCCCCTTAACAGATAATAGTTTGGCTATAACAATAAGATCATACCCAATGGAAGCTCGAAGGTACTACTCCAAAAGCTTTAAGGTCAATCCATACTTAATACAATGTTGAAGCAATGCGCAAGTGCACAACATAGAAAGGGTCGACTTCGATCCACAAAAGAGGCAGATGGAAACAACCTACCTTCGACGAAAACATATCGGATTTCCAACTAAGAAGGGATGTCTCCTAAGTCACGCACATCGCCAACATGGCCAAGATGACTACTCGCAAGCAAATTTAAGACATCTTACTAAAAAACGTCAACCTATTCACATGGTGCACAACCGATATGCCAGGTATTGACCTTAACATAATCTCACATAAATGATAAATTATTCCTAAAGCAAAGCTTATAGCTCAATGAAAACGTAAGTTAGGAGATGAAAGAAGGCAAGTTGCAGATCAGAAAATCAGTAAGCTCTTACAAGCCGACTTCATCCAAGAAAGAGTATCTCATAAAATCAGTAAGCTCTTGCAAGTCGACTTCGTCCAAGAAAGAGTATCGGTAGACTTAACTAAAGTAAAGACAATTCTACAATGAAATTCATTAAGAACAATGACTAGGATACATAATTTTTCGGGTTTGGTAGGATATTATCAGTGACGGATCTTCTTGGGAGTTGAGGGGGTCGTGACCCTCCCCCTCCCCCAAAGTTTTGTAATTCCCATGTAATTTATGATTTTGGCTCCCCCAAACTTAATGAACATTTAATATATTTACTTGTATATTTACAATTTTATCCTCCCAGTCCCTCCTCAGTTTTGTAACTCTCATATAATTTATGATTTTGTCCCCCTCAAACTTAATGATCATTTAATATTTCACCATTTCATCTTCTTACTTCATTTTATATTTATTTATTATTTATTAATAATATATTATTTGGCCCCTCTAAGATCAATGATCAAGATCCGCCACTCGGATGTTATAAGAGATCAATTGAAGGATTTTCTAGAATAGCTATGCCTTTAATTAATATGACCAAGAAAGGTCAAACTTTTGAATAAACATAAAAATGAAAATAAATTTCAAGAGCTCAAGAAAATATTAACCACTTCTCTTATATTAATATTATTCAATCATATTGGACACTTTGAGATATTTTGAGATGTTTCCAAAATGGGATTAAGATATATTCTTATGCAAGATAGAGGGGTAATAACATGTGCTTCTAGACAATTAATAGTACATAAAAAAAAACTATCTAACCCATGATTTAGAACTAGCTATCATTGTGTTTTGACTTAAAATATGAAGACATATGTGTATGATGGTAAGTTTGAAATTTTTAGTGATCAAGGGTTTTCAATAATTGTTTGATATAAAAAAGAGTTAAATATGAGACAAAGAAGATGAATAATTTATTTTTTAAATTATGATTTTGAATTACATTATTCCCTAGGCAAGACAAATTTAGTGGTAGACGCTTTAGTGGAAAATCCCTACATGTCTCCTTATTGATGATCCATGAGATGAGTCTGCTCAAATGTGATTGTTGTGTGTTTCTTATTACATTTGTAGATTGGTACATATGTTGATCCAATATACATGTCAGATAAGATTTATTATTAGAAACAATGACAAAGATCAAGAGGAGGGTGAATTGAATCTTGCAATCTTTTTCCATTTCTTTTTCGAAAAATCCAATTCTTAACAACAAAACAAACTTCTCAAGACTTGATTGATACAAATATTTGAATGTAAAGAAATATACAAGATATAATTGTAATGAAAGAGAAAGATTAGTAATACACAAAAATTTATATTGGTTCATCCAATTTATTGAGTTACATCTAGTCCTTAGCTAAATTCAACCAAGGTCACCAATATAATAACAATTTAAGATATAAACACAAGTAGAAATAACCTATCTTTTGCAAGAGGTTCTTGAACTTTCAAGAACACCACTTGATTACACCAATAACCACAAATCAGTCACTGAACACTAGTATCTCTTACACTAGTATTTATTTTTTATTGAATCTTAGCAATAAATTCATTAAGGAACCCAAATAATATTTTAACTGATGAATAAAGTTTTAACAAATTATTTTTTTTAAAATAATTTTCATCAAACTTGACCAAAAACATTTTAACATATGAAAAACATCCATTAATTAATTAAAACTTTAAAATATACATGTGCTTGAGTTTTAATGATTTTAATTGATTAATTTAAATTTTTATAAATTAAAAAAGTAAACATAGAACATTTTAATGAATTAGAGCACCTTTTAATCGATTAAACAACCTTACTTAAAAAAAAAGTTAATTTTACCTATGAGGCATTCAATCTATCTTAGTGAATTAATCATGAAAGAACTTATACTTATATGACATGCACTTTAGACACAAGCTCACACAAGGAGGTCAATAAGAATCTTTATGACTTTAGAATCCAACACATCACCAAGATGTTTCATATTTATCATTTACAAAATTTATAAACATTAATTTCATCTAGTATAAAAGGAACATTATTTGTTTCTTCTTATAATGATTCAAATTTTATTTAAGATCCAACTTTAACATAAATAATTAGGAAGTCACAGTACGAGATAATCATATAATGTATATTTTACTTTTAATATTATTCTATTATTTTTAATTATAAATTTATAATCTTAAAATATGATAAATAAAAAATATTACCTTTTAAATTATTTTTCAATTAAATAAAAACATGAAAAGGTAAGAAAAATATAGAACTTTTCAATATTAATAATAATAAAAATAACAAAAGCATACTGTATAACACAACTTAAAAAAAAAAAAAATTGGTAGAAATCGTGGTATCTAACAAGACTTTTTAAAGAAAAACGTGTGCTAGCACGATTTTTTTTTTAAGAAAAAACCTAATACTAAAAGTCCTATCATGAAACATAATTTTGTATAAAAAAATTATAGTATTAGAAGTTTTATTTTAAAACACTGACTTTTTTTTATTACAAACTTTAAAAGGTACAAATCCGTAATTTTAAAAAGTTTTGCATATTTTTATAAAATAAAAGAAAAAATCACTACTTCGTTAAATAAAACCATTCATAAACTCAGTAACATTATTACAATTATAACAAGAAGAAGTGAAAGTTAAGCAAAGAGCAGAATGGACAAATCTACAATTTTCCTGCACAAATTATGCCCACCGTATAGATTCCAAGACCACCTACAGCACAGCCAAAGCCATTGACCGATCAAAGCTTCCACGAATCTCTCTCTCCCTCCTTCTTCCCATCTTCTTCTTCCTCTTCACCT